TCTCAAGTTGTGCCAGGATCAGTTTACATTGGATATTAGGAAAAATTTCTTTACTGAAAGGGTTGCAAACACTGGAACAGGCTGCCCAGGGAAGTGATGCAGTCACCGTCCCTGGGGTGACTTAAAAGACATGTAGACATAACTGCACTTTGGGACATGGTTTAGTGGTGGACTCGGTAGTGCTACGTTAAGGGTTGGACTGAGTGATCCTACAGGTGTTTTCCAACTAAACAATTTTATGATTCTAATTTTCCTATATCTAGCAAATTCTAAACACCAAATGTTTACATAATGAAAGCAGTATCTGGACTATAAAAGCTGATTTTTTATATTATGCAGCAATTTAGTATTATATTTCCACCACTGGCAAAAAAGGTGTCCATTTACCAATACGGAATTCACTTTTTGTTTTTACCCTAAAATCCTGTACTAGTATCAGTGGTGAGCACTCATATAATATTTAACCATTCTATATAACCCAGGTTCATGAAGAAACTACATCACTAAGTAGGCTTTACTTAGATTCTCAGCTAAAAAAGTTGGTCTTACCTACAGTGGAAAAACAAAACTACGTGCAAGCACTTAAGTCAGTTGCTAAAGCACAAGACTCTTTCTCCAGTTCTGCCAATATTTCAACATCATCACATGAGTAATTTGCAAGCCAAAGGTTTATTTCTCTATTTATCATGCAAAACTTTTCAAACCCTTTTGCCTGAGAAGTGTGCTGCCTGAGAGCATCCTTATATCCATCATATTAAATGAGAGTCACTGGATACCAGAATTCTGAGACACTGTGGGACTTTTTGAGGTTCACCGATCAACAAAGCAAAAAATTAAACAAAATCTACAATAAAAGTAAAATAAACATCAGCCCAAACCTGAATAGACTGGCTCAATACAACCTCACACCCATAATAAAGATCTCTCCTGCTGCTTTTAGGGAATAATTTCCTAATCTAAGTGACAAGTCATTTCCTACTAGCGATGAAAAAAGTCCTTATGTGCCTTTAAGAAAACTTACTGATGGACTTCGAAAACCACAATCCCTCTGGAAGGAAAGTTCTACTGTTAAGGAGCAAGAAATGTCAACACCTCAATTTCGACAGCACTGCACATGTTCACTTGGAAGAAGAAAATCCCCAACTCTCCCAGCGCTGGCAGCGGCAGAGCCCAACTCCAACTCCAGCTCCAGCCCCTTCCTGCCCTGCAGCCCCCGGGGACAGCGCAGGTGCCGCAGCCCCCGCGGACACACGGCGGTGCTCGGGAGGGCGAGGGCGGACCGGGACTGACCCCAGGACAGCCCTGCAGCCCCAGCCCGGTGCCCGAGCTGGAGGCAAGTGGAGCGGGACCCGACCACCTCCGCCCCGGCAGCGCAGCCCCGTCCCGTCCCGCTCCATCCCGCCAGGGATCCCGGCGCCTCTCCCAGCGCTGCCCCCTCCCGTCCCAGCCCCCCAGCCCCGTCCCCGCTCACCCCCGGGCCGCCGGGAGAGCACTCGCCGCCTGTCCGCCCGCTCCCAGCGCCGCTCGGCCGCGTCCCGCGGGAAACTCCCGGGGGCGGGGAAGGGCGCAGGTAGCACCGCCCGCCCCTCGCCGAGGGCGGGGGACCGGGGCGGCCCCGACCGCGGTTTCTATTTCGGTTTCCCGGCAGAGGATGGCCAGCGCCGCCCAGTCCCGGCCCGGCCGTAACCCCGGCCAGCGCTCGCCTCCTGCCCCGACCGGCGCATCGCTGAACCGCTCTCCTACAGCCCCTCGTGTTCCCGTGTGCACATAGAGGAGATCCCTCAGCTGCATCCATACATCAAGTTTAAGCGTTATCTGAATCAAACTTCAGCTGACACTCGGGTGGAATTTAGGGCAACAATTTTAATAGTTTGTTATTGGCAGTAGGATTAAAACACTCCAGGACACAGTAGCGTGAATTTGGCAATTGCTAAAATTGGGCAGGACTACTTTTTATTTCTCATCCAAAAGGCAGTAACTGTTGCAGAACTGTGCTGCCCAATAGCTCCTCTTCAGTCAGTTCGTTTTTAAAGAGACAAGTAGCACCTTTACCAAAACCAGCTGCCACAGCATTAGGAGCTGATGAGTTGAACCTGTCTCAAGGTGTCAAGGTTAATTTTCTATTTATTATCTGCAGTGTCATGACTATCCACTTGCTGAAGTCAGTGGCAAAACTTTCATTATAAAGTTTCAGAACAAACATTCACCTTAGGCTTCAGTGTTTACTACTTCATACAAATCCTTTTCTGTTGATATGATCCAGACACACTGACTCCCTTGTTTAAAGGTTCTGTGTTTGCTACCTCTCCTATGTTGTTCAGAATGGGCCAAAGTATGTCACAAATGACATTCTGAAATGTACAGGGACTTGGACTCTCTACAGGACCTTCTTCTTTTCCTTAGCATCATAACTATGCATGTGGAACACTACTAGCAGGGTTAACCTTTGCTCACAGTGTCTTCTCCAGACTATACAGATGATAAATACATGGCAAGCCTCTCTATATAAAGAAATATGCGTGTTCTTTGTTGAGTTTGACCTTGTTCAACCCAGTGCATTTGCTAAAAAATGCCTGTGAAAAAAATAAGAAAGCTGAAGATTATTAAAGACAAAAAAAGAGGAAGAAAATTAGGGGACTGAGGAAGAAGTTAGGCTACAGGAAAGGCCAGGCCAAGCAAAGGGTGGAACTGGCAGCACCTTGAAAGTGGGAGGTTAAGGAGGCTGAGTAACACATCCTTAACGTGCAGCACCTCTCACGCTAAGGTGCTAGAGGTATCCTCTTTCAGGAACTTGCTTGTGCTATTAGTTTCCCCAAACCCACAATTAATTTTAATGAAACCATTTTCTTTTTTTAGACCAACTTCAAAGGGGGAAAGAGGAGGAGTTTCTCTTTCCACATCAATGAATTTAGGCAGGACAAGTCATAGGATTCCAGGGGAAACTTGCCAGAGAGAGAGGGAGGAAACACAAGTTCCTGCTCCATGGTATGCATATGTAGGATATAAATTGAAAGGATGTATTTTAAATCAATCTACTCTGTCTTAATGATCATCCTGGGATACAAACCCAAAATCATTAGATCACAGCAATTATTTATAGACCCCGACTTACTAGGAGGCTATCAAGAGTATATAGAACTCTGCAGTGAAGACCTACTAATACACAAAGTAGCTACAAACTCCCTAACATGCACTGCAGAGGTGGCCACATGTTTTACATAAATGCCTGGTTTTAAATACTAAAGAAAATGACTTTTTCTTTAGTCCATACCTGGGTAACCATGCTGCAGGTCAATAACTACCTGCTGGGCGCCCTGCAGCTCTCTGCCCCAACCACTGCATTTTAGATCCCACACAACATGTCCTGGCATGGGGCTAGACAAAGAGAATCACAGAATCAATTAGGTTGGAAAAGACCTCTGAGATCATCAAGTCCAACCTATAACTGAACACTGAGTGCCATGTCCAGTCTTTCCTTAACACCTCAGGGACAGTGACTCCACTCCCTCTCTGGGCAGCCTGTTCCAATGTCTAATCACCCTTTCTGTGATGAAATTCCTCCTAATGTCCAACCTAAACTTCCTCTGGCCCTTAAGACTATATCCTGTTGATAGTTGCCTGGGAGAAAAGGCTGACCCCCACCTGGCTACAAGCTCCTTTCAGGTGGTTGTGGAGTGTGATAAGGTCATTCCTGAGCCTCCTCTTCAGGCTAAACACCCCCAGCTCCCTCAGCCACTCCTCACTGGATTTGGGCTCTATACCCAAATATATAGAGCTTTTCCCCCGCTTTGTTGCCCTTCTCTAGACTCACTCCAACACCTCAATGTCCTTCCTCAATTGAGGGGCCCAGAACTGAACACAGTACTTGAGGTGTGGCCTCACCAGTGCCAAGTACTGGGGAAGAATCACTTCCCTAGTCCCGCTGGCCACACTATTCCTGGTACAACTCAAATGGTTTACATCCCCTTTTCAAATAGCAGTCTGCTGAACCTACATTAGGTCTCCATCACCTTGGCCATCTGACCCTTTGGGCTCACCTCCATGTCCACCCTCGCCCTCCTGCCCTTGGCTGGTGGGGCTCATGTACAGGGTCACAGCCGACCCTGGCCTGCGCTGTGGGTGCTTCCTCACACAGGTCAGGCCCACAGCCCACACCTCAGGCCGGGCCGGGGAAGCTTATGGAGTACCTTGGATTGGAAGGAACACACAAGGATCATCGAAGTCTATCTCCTGGCCCTGCACAGGACAGCCCCAAGAATCACACCATGAGCCTGAGGGCGTTGTCCAAACACTTCTTCAACTCTGTCAGGCTTGGTGCTGTGACCCCTTCCCTGGGGAGCCTGTTCCAGTGCCCAACCACCCTCTGGGTGGAGAACATTTTCCTAATATCCAACCTTAATTCTATCCTGACACAGGTTCGTGCCACTCCTTCAGGTTCTGTCACCGGTCACCACAGAGAAGAGATCATGTCTGTCCCTCTTCACCCCTCACCAGGAACTTGTAACTGCAGTGAAGTCTCCCCTCAGTCTCTTCTCCAGCTGAACAGACCAAATGCCCTCAGCCGCTCCTCATACGGCTTCGGCTCCCAGGCCCTTCACCGTCCTCGTTACCCTGCTTAGGACGCTCTCTAATAGCTTAATGTCTTTTTTATACTGTGATGCCCAAAACTGCACACAACACTCAAGCTGAGGCTGCACCAGTGCAGAGCAGAGCGGGACAATCCCACCCCTGGACCGGCTGGCGATGGTCCCCCCCCACGACACGGTTGGCCCTCCTGGCTGCCAGGCCACAGTGCCGACAGCTCAGTTTGTTTCCTCTGCACGCAGCAGGCAGCCGTCCGCGCCCCAGGGCAGGCGGGCTGGGCAGGTCCGCTCCCTCCCCCAGCGCTCCGCACGCCTCGGGCCGCCGCGGGATCCCCTCCCCGCCCGCGGGGCCGGGCTGAGCCTCGGCGGCCGCCGTGGAAAACGGCGCCTGCGCAGAGCGGCGCGGCCGTGCGGGCCATGGCGCTGTGGCTGCTGCGGCGCCGCCTGCCCCTCCCCGGGCCCGGCGGCCGCGGGCACGCCCGGCTCGGCCCCGCCGCCCAGCCCGCCGCCAGCACCCAGCCCGCCGCCCAGCCAGCCGCCCAGGAACCGGCCGAAGGTACGGAGGGGCCGCCGCGGCCGCGGGGCCGGGCAGCGCGGCGGGCGCTGCCGGCGCGCGTGGGGACGGAGTGACCGCCTGTCCCGCGTGTCCCGCTCGGCCCGGGCCAGTGCCGGTGTCCCGGGGCAGTGCCGGTGAACCGGGGCAGTGCCGGTGTCCCGGGGCAGTGCCGGTGAACCGGGGCAGTGCCGGTGTCCCGGGGCAGTGCCGGTGTCCCGGGGCAGTGCCGGTGAACCGGGGCAGTGCCGGTGTCCCGGGCCGGTGCCGGTGTCCCGGGCGGTGCCGGTGTCCCGGGGCGGTGCCGGTGTCCCGGGCCGGTGCCGGTGTCCCGGGCCGGTGCCGGTGTCCCGGGGCGGTGCCGGTGTCCCGGGCCGGTGCCGGTGTCCCGGGCCGGTGCCGGTGTCCCGGGCCGGTGCCGGTGTCCCGGGCCGGTGCCGGTGTCCCGGGCAGCCCGGCCGGGCTGTGCCTTTCCCGGTGCAGCCCGAGGGGCAGAGTCCGCTGTCGGTGCCCGGCGCTCGGTTTACCTCACATGGGGGTAAATCAGGTGACAGGGGGTGTCCTGGGAGACCCCCTCAGAGTTAAGAAAGGCGTGACTGGCGCTGTGTGTTTGGTGCAAGGCAAGAACCGGTGAGGAGTGCCCATCGCTGCTGTGCTGTAGCAGTTCATGCGGGTGTGAGCCTGAGGCCTGTGCTTGTGTTCGTGTTTCACAGCTTGCAAACGTGAGGTAGCAAGCGTTTCTTGAAGGGAGGATACGACCGGGTAGTATTATCACAGCTTCTCAAAGCCAGCAACTCTTTGCTGTTCATATCCTTGTACTGGCAGATGTGCAGCAAAGCGGATTAAGAAACAATTCCAGGTTACAGTTAATCATTCTTGGTTTGCTGCATAACTTTGATCATTAGTCTCACCTGTTTTGCTGCATGACTGTGTAAATGCTTGCATTAGCATCAGCATGCAGAGAGCAGCATGTGGAGGATGGGGCTGTGTCTTTTAGCAGCAGTGCTGGTGAATGCGTCTTTAAAACAATTGTGAAACTCTGGCACTAACTGGAAATGTTTTGTGGAACGGGGAAGAAAGCAAAGTGGACTGGCTGTCATGCGTTTGAAATGCTCACAACCACCATTTGGATGTGAACATGTGAATCTGTGCCATGCTCAGACTGTGCAAAGGATGGAGCCAGAAGATGTCAGAGCACATCTGCCATAGTAACTAAACACATACAAGGCAGTAAATCAGGCAAGAATCACAGCCATTCTGGCCTAATGCAGCTGTGGGAGTGAGAAGGTCTAGTTTCACCTCCTGATCATGCAGCTCATCCATGGGACTTGTGCTTTCTGCATCTTGGTCACTTTACCCTTCTCTGCTCCTATGGAAATGAGGATATTTGTCATCTTCATAAAGTACTTCATTGGTCTTCTGATGAAAAATGCTATAAAAAACTAAGCTATTGAAACAACTACTTTGGTGACTATTTGCTAATCTCTGTGAGAGCTCAGTAGATTCACAAAAGAAAAGATTTAAGAAAAATAAATACAAGTAATACTAAAGTATCATTTCATGATAATTAAGATTTTCATGAGGCCACTATATCATGTGTGTTCCTCAATATCAAAAACACAGAATGAGGAGCTCTGTTGAATCTTCCTGTGGCAGATAGTAGCTGCTGGGAAATGCTCCCCAGCTTCCCAACGTGAATGTCAGTATTAACAGGTAGCAGCTTCACAGGCTGTGCTGATATGATGTGGTCAGTGGATTAGTTTGAGAGTTATGCAGGGAACTGATTATAATTTCAGGTTTGGAACATGGCCCCCCGTGCCTGTGTGCAGTGAGGAAAAAAGTTTCCGTGTTTCTGGATGTTCAGTATGTCTTGATTCCATGTGGATTCTGTAGGCTGTCAGCAACAGTACAGATTGCCAGTAGTGTGGTGAGATACAGCTGATCTGTGGGTTTATTGTAGTGGAGTAGATGAAAGTGTATTACTAAATGAAAATTTTGAGTAGGAGTTTACTGTAAAGGAAGGTGCTGAATTGTAAAAATAGCAAGTGTTGAAATGTTCCGAAGGTAAAAGTGCTGGTTTTGTGGTAGCAGAGAGAGATTATTTTTTTAGTGCAGCTTGCCAAAGGTCTGCCTCGTAGCATAGCTGACATTTCCAGACTCCTTTGTGTGTGCTAAGTTTTTTGGTGGTGAACAGCAAAATAAAGAACAAAGACTCCTTGTATCATCAAGCTTCCCATGGCACCAAGGGAAGTCAGTATTACTTTCTTCCTACATTTCCTACTCCTTGTTATTACAAATCTATGCATTTGTGAGAGAAATACACTTATATTTCAGTATTTTATTAATTCTTCATTGTTTTCTCTTTTGTGCCATCTTGGAGAACCAGGACAAATATTTGTTCAGTTGTTCAATCCAGAGGAAGAGATTGAGTGTACTAAAATCAGTTTTACATCTTCCTGTTTATACAGAAGAACCTTGATGCTCATTTCTTCTCACAGATGCTGAAGTCAGTACCAGAAAGAAGACATTCACTGAGGTCCAAAGAGAACGACTGGATCAAGCTGAACGGACTGTTTTAATTAAGTGCCCATCAAAACTTAACGAAAAAAAATTATTGCAGTATTTATCCAGTCATGGAAATGTTAGAAGTCACTTCTTCTTTGAAAATCGTGTAAGTAATTAACAATGTGAACTAAAATCTAGACTCAGATAAAAAGAAATACCAGCACTTGGTTATGGCCTCATGCATGCAAGTTAAGCAAAATATACATAATTAGTATATTACATCAGTTTCTATCTGTGCTAATGTTTACAAGTTGCTCAGCAGCAGATTTTTTTTCAGAAGTCAGCTAAGCAACACCTCTAAAGGCTAGTCAGCAACCTGTTTTGCAGTAAATCTTTGAAACTTTCATGTTGCATTGTTCTTTGTTCAAACAATAGAGATAACTATTTTTATGTGGTTTTGAGCATGTCAGTTGTGAAGATAAATAGATTTCAGAACTTTATGCTTAGTGTTTACTGCCAAGAATGGCACATCATAAATATTTTTAACCTCTTGTAGAAGTGTCTAAAACATGTTGAGATACAAAACCTTTCATTCAACTTCAGGGCTGGCATATTAAACTGTCTCAGTACTGCCAGGAACATCTGAACAATATCAGTACAATGAGTTCGAGGTTTGTATGCATTTATCTAACCCTGTATTTCCATTCTTAATGTTTTAGGGCATCAATGCTTTAGTAGAGTTTTCAGAAAAGAGCAGTATAGCCTCGTTGCAGGATGCTGTTGGAATCCCAAATGCTGCAGAGCATCATGTTGTCCCATTTAAATCGAGACTTTTTACTTTCACGCTGAAAAACCCAGTGAGTCAACCTGCTGAAGAGACACCACTTCACCTCTCTCCTCAGTGTCACATTCCAGTGACAGACCTTATTCAAAAGCTTTGTCTTGCAGACAGCGTAAGTTGAGGTTTCTAGATCTCTCTCAATTAAAAATGAACCATCTTCATTTCAGATTTGGAAGTCATCATGTGAAACTTAAAAAGCAATTTATTTCTAGTAAAAAAAAAAAGTAACCCATATTAGAATTTTTCCTGTTTCTCCTACATTGAAACAAATAAATTAAATTAGTCATTTTAATCGTGAATATAATTTTGTCTGTATTAAATAAACCTGTTTGAAATTTTATAAAATAATCTTCTAATTGCAGTGATTTTAAGTGGATTAAAATATATGTTAATAGATAGAAGACCTGTTATTGGATGTTTACAGTGTTTATTTTTTGAACTAGATAAGCAGTCAGATGTACATTCTACTGAATGAGTATCAGCTTACAGAAGAAAATATCAAGCTCCGATTTCTGGCCTGTTCTTTGGTTCGGGATTTCGCACGTGCTTATTTTCCAGACAGCACAGTAAAGCCGTTTGGCTCTTCAGTCAACACCTTTGGCAAACTGGGATGTGATGTGGACATGTTTCTGGACTTCCATGATACACGAAAGAGTCCTACAAAAATGGTAAGATTATGCTTTGCATCTTCAGTTTATTGGATTTCTTCCACAGAGCAGCTCATTTGCTGTTTCACAGATGGGAATCAGTTTATTTATATTCAGGTTTTACATGAGTTCATACTATAGATGTAAACAAATTAATTTGAGTGTTTGGACTTGAAGACTTTCAAAAGCTAGATGTGACATAAGAGATCTTTCTTGCATTAGGAAGAAAATTCGGTGTTTATATAAACTTTGTACTGTTAGGATGAATTTCACTATGAAAAAACCCCTCATCCTCCAGAATTGATTGAACAAAGTCAGACCTTCTTATTCTGCTGTTGCATTCTCTTCTCTGCTGGGTCTCATATCCATGCTCTGTTAAAGCTTTGATCTTTAAGGTCCTCCATGTTCTAAAGCATAATAAGTTTGTGCATGTGTGAGCATGTGCATTTTGAGAGGGTTAGATTACTATGTCAATTTACCCAAAAGTAATAGTTTACTTATATTTGCTGTTTTCGGCAATATGGCAAGAATAGAGGAAGAACCAAAGGTTTAGAGCAGTGTATCAGTACTTCATCCACCCTCTGGTTAGCACTGAAGCTATATATGAAGGTTCTGTCAATTATTAAGAATATCTACTTTATCATTACAAAAAAGCCTTTTTGCAGCTTTTGAAATATATTGAGCTGCTGCCTCGATAGGCCCATTGTGGTTTTTGTCACAAACATAAATATCCAAACACCAGCCCACTTATACCTCGGCTGAGTTGAGTCACCATCGTTTTCTTTCCGGTTACCTACCCCAGCGCTGAATAGTTACAGGCTCTTTCACTTTGAGCCAGCCCTATGGTAGCATGCAGCTGCACAGCCAGAGGGGATTAGGGACCTCTGTCCTGGCATGTTCCAGCACACGTGCTGACTGGAGAGCTGTTGGCAGGAGGAGAGCAGGAACAGTCACCTTGGTGATTGCCAGAGCCACTCAGAAATTCAACACCTAAAGTGAGTTTGTTGGAAAGTTTGCAAGGTCCATGGCTTCTGAATTGTTTCACCCATCTGTGAGTGCATGTTTTCTTTGCACTAATCTGGTGACAAGAAAAGTAACCTCTGTGTCTCAACTGATGAGTTAGGTCACTGTAATGCTGTTTGCATAGGATGCATTCACCCATGACATGTCTCAAGGGGGAGGATAAGTCAGTGTCAAGTATTGGATTAGCAAGCAAAATTATCTGAGGCTTAAAAACACAGACTATGAAGAGAACAGATATTTCATAAGTATGAAGGTGTTGTATTGAGGTAAAAACTACAAATGTGGCAAATCGAACTACAAAGACATACGGGACAAGTACTTTCTGATGTTAGAATATATCTTCACAATATTTTTGTCCGAAAAATTATATGATGTCCAGTGATTTTTTTAAGTCTTACAGGGGCTTATCTTAATTTTGAAGGATTAAGTACTTTGCATGCTAAATTTTTTTACATTTTTAATGAAAAAGACATTTTCCCCTGCACTGCTGGTGGATTCACTAAAAACTCATTGTTCTCTGAGGATTTGAAGTGGAATTACTGGTGGCTTGAAATTAATGGTAGTTTGGTTATGTCTTACCCCTCTTTAATTGTATGCTCCTCTTTTGCAGTTGGAGCATATATGCTCTCTTGGGAATTCCAGAATGACTTGTTTTAGCCAATAGTGAGACATAGCAGTATTATACCTTCATTTGAACAAGTAACTTTACAGTAAGTTGATCACTATTAGCTTGGAAGAATTTAATCACCAAAAAAGCATATAAAAGAGAGAGCAATATATTTTTACTTATTTTAGGTTCTGTGAATTGCTTTGAATAATTCTTGTCTTTCAGTCTCTAATTGTACCAGCTCCTTTGCTAATTGTTGTGGTCTTTCAGAAGTATTTTTAAATGTCTCTTTTGTTCTAGAGCTAACAGATTGCTTTTAAAATTCTGTGTTAGAAAAAAGGTCCCTTTGAAATGGAGTTTCAGATGAAAAGATTACCATCTGAAAGATTAGCGACTCAGAGGATTCTTTCTGTGATTGGTGATTGCCTTGATAATTTTGGTCCTGGATGTGTGAGTGTACAGAAGATACTCAATGCTCGCTGCCCTCTGGTGAAGTTTTCCCATCAACCGACAGGATTCCAGTGTGATCTGTCAGTGAGCAACAGGTGAGGCCTGGTTTAAAAAAGTTTAGAAAGAATTCCAAAGTACTTCAAATGTTCTGAAAACCTGTAATGACAACTGTTTGAGTCTGCTCCTTTCAGTGTTCTTAACAAATATGAAATGTTGGCTCTGAAACTAAATAGGGTATTTTTTAACTCCTAGATCTCAGTTTTTGCTGTGGTTATCTTTCTCGAGCATAGGAAATACTTTCTAGCTGAAGCTGAGGACTTGAAAACCAGTCTATACAATAAGGTTGGCTTATGAAGAATTGAGAGAAGGCAGTCAGTGTTCATTAGCTTCAGTACCCTTCATGTATATGGGCGTATGTACAGCTCTCCTTGACTGATTTTCAGATTGAACAGCTCCAGAATGTTAATTTTTAGTGATTTGGCTTCTAATTATTTTGGTGCCCTTTCCTTCTTCCTGAGGGCCCACATACATCTGTTTTCCGGGAAGATCCCTGGAAGGGAAGTCCGTGGTCTTCCTGCGGTGCCGCCAGGGGGCGCGGGCTGCCTGGGAATGCCCCTCGCGGCTCCTCTCCCTCTGCACGCCCTCGGTGACGGCAGAGCATGGAAACTGCCCTGAACTACCCAAAGTTCTGTTTCTGAATGTGCAGGGGTTATTAAGGCAAGATTGAACAAATGTCTTGCAATAAAATAACTTTTCTATATGCAGCCGCAGTGAAAGTTGGGATGCAGTTCTGTGCAAGCATCCTTGTAATTCACTGCTGGATGGTTTGGCTGTTTGGGACTGTGCATCTTGTCTTCTTGTCACTTGGAGTAATAATGAACCTCTGTGGATACCATAAAGCACCTCATGGTTGAAATTTCAGAAGTCCTGGTGTTACGAAATTTTGACCTAGTAAACATCTCCAAAAGGCCATGCTGAATTTTTAGAAAAATTTAGTGCACGTTTTGGAGTAAAATCTCCTGCAACTGTAGTTCAGCGAGCACTTCAGGCTACAACTGAACCAAAATAAGTTTTACTCTCACACTGTGCTTCCATTTTTTTTCTACTTTTTCTTACCCTCCCATTTGTACACTACATAAATGTTTGTATAACAGTGTGATGAAGCAGATCAAAACCTGACCCATCTGAAAACCTTTATCCTTCCAGATTACTGTTTGGTTCTGCTGAAAAAAACAAGTAATCATTTGAAAATTACAAAATTGACTTGGTTTGCAGATTCGTTGTGTCTCTGCACTTAGTGTATTTTTCAGGGCAGCATTTAATTACTCTTTAGATGAAAGTTGTAAAAGAAGGATTTTATTTTATATTAGGATAGAGATATTATCTAATATACCTTGAAGGCAACTGTGGCTAAATTATGTTTTTTCACCTCGATTCTTCATCGTTTGACTCCTGAGTACTTGATAGTGGGGTTTTTTTGTTTGTTTGGGTTTTTTTCTCCCACTGTGATGTGGAACAAAGAAACGGGAAACTGTGCAAATGCAGTATTATTATTTACCCCAAACTGTATTTTTCTTACTGTGGAAAAGTACATGTATTTCATCCTGTACAATTTCAAGCATTCCAGCCCAAACCGTTCTGCAATTCTGTGATTCATTTTCTATTTTCTAAAGTGCGTAAGCATTACTTCTTTTTTTTTTTTTAATGGATGCCCTCTTATAAAGGATAATGAACATTGCATCTGATACTTCACAATTTTCTCATCATTTACATGTCTTTTACTTTTCATTTCTTTTTCAGCATTGCTATCAGAAGTTCAGAACTCCTGTATATCTATGGCTGTCTGGATTCCCGAGTACGAGCACTGGTGTTCACTATACGGTGTTGGGCCCGTGTTCATGGACTTACAAATAGTGCTCCTGGTACCTGGATTACCAACTTCTCTCTGACCATGATGGTCATGTTTTTTCTGCAAAAGAGATCACCACCTATCATTCCAACGCTAGACCAACTTAAGGAACTGGCAGGTAAGGGTGGCTGTTTCTGTGTTTATTGCACTTTATTGTTTATTTCGTATTTGTTTCCACTAAAGTGATAAATAAACACAAACCGTCCCTTTATGCTCTCAAATGCTAATGGATATTATGTGTGCCTTAAGTTTGAGGGAATACACAAATTTTACTTGTATTTTTTGTGAAAATAATGCATTCTTAAATGCCAAGTAAATCCATTTCCAATACAATAGTAAATTCTATTTAGAAGGGTTAGACTTTCTCTGTGCCTTAGACAAAAGTAATTTATTTGTTCAGTGCTCCTATGGTGAATTTTTTGTTTATTTTGTATTTAGAAGACTTGTAGGGTATCAAATGTCTCTGCAGTTAAGGATTTTATGCAGATTGATATGTGTATTGTTTTATAGATACCAAATGTTTAAAAGAAAGACTGTATCTTCATCTCACAATTTGTAATATCCTTGAGATTGTTCAGGCCATCTGCAAATAATTCTTGTATCTTCGCAAACAAGCTGTTATGGCTGTTTCATACACAGCTTTCAGGGTTGATTATCTTCAGAGAATCTTATGAAAGCACGGAGAATGACACCTCAAGTTCTTAATTCTTCACTCATGCCTTCTGCTTACTGACATGCTTCCTTGGAAGCTTTGAGTGTTTTCAGTGGAGAAAAAGGTCTGTGTTCAGTTGCTTTAAAATAATTTTAAACATTTGCATCAGAATTCTGTAGAATTTTTTATACATAAAACACCTCTTCTGAGATTTTACAATATTCCTAATTCTCTGAAGTTTTTTAGAAAAAGACAGTGGATGGTCTGGGTCTGATTTTTTTGCAACTCTCATATAGATATTAACCTCAGAGAGTTGTGCTGTTTAGTGTATAACACAGCCCTGTATGCAGAGATACCAGGTTTGTTACTTAAAATAAGTAATTTCAGAGATACAGAGATGTCATGTACCTTATTCCTATAGGATTTTGAAAATATGCCATTTGCTCATGATTCTTTTCCTTTGACTGTCTGTAGACTTTTTTCTTTTCAATCTTTTACCATTTCAAGTTGAATCTTTAACCTAAAAGTTCACTTGTGAACTCCTAATTTCATTGATTTCATTTCAGCATTCCCTGATTTCAGTCATGTCTGTTATCTGAATTTCATTAAATACAATGGCATTTTATTGTTTATTGTTTCAAAATATGCCCATATTTTTTTTTCCAGATGCAAAAGACAAGCATATAATTGGAGGATATGATTGCTCATTTGTTAGTGATTTAAGGAAGATTAAACCTACAAAAAATACAGAAACACTTGGTAGGTAAATCTCCGTCAATTTTTTTTTTAAGGAGCATATTGAAAATTAACTTTTCCTTAATGTTACTCATGGCTCTTGTTTTTCTTTCCCTTAGATGTATTATTGGGTGAATTTTTTGAATATTTTGGAAACTTTGATTTTAGAAGGAATTCCATAAATCTTCGAAAGGTAAATGAATTTTAATTGCTCATCATTATCAGTTGAATCTCTCTGTCTGCCACTTGATAAACTACATATACTGAGCAACAATTTCTGTCATTTTTATTTGTATATGAAAAGTACATTTATCCAGAAACTGAGTTCTTTCTGTGAAGGAGCAGTGTTTTCCTCTCAGAGCCTAATAAATAATAAGTATCATCAAGAACATTTACAGTGTCATTACCTGGATATGTTGGAAAGCACAAAATTATGTAAAGCCTGTATGATTTTACTTGAAAACCATGCAGAAGAAAGTGGCAGTTTTAAAAAGTCAAAGCTATTTTGCTTCTGTGAGAGGAAAACTTTTAAAATGTCATGATGTATGTCATAGCAAAAGTCTGTGACAAACCCTGTACACCAACAGGCTTTGAACTTAAAACAGGGAGTTCAGACCCAGTGAGATTCTGCATTAAAACTTACAGCTGAGTTCTGAGTTTGCTTTTGGCACTTGAGTTTTCCACTGCAGTTTGTATCAGCCCACAGTAACTATGTACAACTCAGTAAGCTGAGAATAACGTGATTATTCTGTGCTCTCACTTCAGTTTGCTTTATGTGCTCGTCATCCTATTTATTGATCTCTGTGTGTGCAAGCAAGTTAATAGAAATATATGAAAATATAACTACCCTAACTCGCACCTGTTCCTGCTGCACTGCTGACAGGGTGGGGGTTCCAGTGCCATGTTGCTGTGTGGACACCCCTTCGTGTCCCATTTCCTGTTTGGGCACTGTGGATCAGTGACACAAGAGCTCTTTTTGCTGCTGCAGATTGATCCTAATGTGGATCATTAAGGTGGAGAACTTCTGTTTGCCGCTAAGCCATAAAAACCAAGCAAAACCATGCGTTTGGAGCCTGCTAGTCAGGGAAGATGTCTGTGCTGCTGGTGTTTTTCTGTTTAATTAGTCTGTCCTCTTGGTCCTGGGGCAAGAGTATGTAACATGTACATAGACACCTTCTGGAACAGCAGTAGCTGGTGGGTTCCTGCTAAAGCTTGTGATAGAAGGCTTGAAGAGGTTCTGGAATACGGAACAGGTCAGCTAAGTAGCACTGATAAGCACTGAGGTGGAATTGCATTTAAATTAGCAAACCTACACTGTTGTCAACTACATGTGTTGTACAATATCAAGTGCCCAAAAGTGGACCATGACCTGAGTAGCTCTGTGCTTAAAAAAAGACAGACCGTGGTGGGAGGGATTTCAGCCAAGGCAGTGATCTTGTTTAGTTACACTAGCTCTGCGAGCTGTCTGAGCACTGTGGGATGAATGGTTTGAACAGTTCAAGTGCTTGCAATAGTTTATCGAACTGGGCTACACAGGTTAATGTGACACACTCGTGCTGCCCATACACAAACAGAGATAGGAGAAGGGGGTTGCAATGGGTAAGGTCTGAGGTTTGTTGAAAAGCAAATGGGGGAATGGCCAAAAAGACAGGTTAAGCTGTAGTTGTGTGTTCTTTGCCTTGAAGGAAATCTAAGCTGAATGTGGTAAGGAAAACCACCACTAAGAGGATTCAGAGAACAGGAATCATACAGTCAGTCAGGTTGACAGGAAAATTAACTTGATTAATAACAACTGGGTGTTTTGTAAAAAGTTCTCTAGTAAGTCAAAACACTTTTACTCTTAATGCTCATGTAATAAGTCAAGTGATTTGTTATTTGCTCAACCTATTATACATATATGCAACTTCTGCTTTTTCTTTACACTGTCTGCAGGGAAAGGAAGTAAATAAACCTGAATCATCTCCTCTTTATATCTGGAATCCCTTTGAACAAGACCTTAATATCAGCAAGAATGTTAATCAGCCACAGCTGGAGAAATTCATTGCTATGGCCAGAGAAAGTGCCTGGATTTTACAGAAGGAAGATAAAACTCAGAAAATAATCAATAAAGAACCTTGGGGACTGGCAGCACTGCTGATACCATTTGGAAAAAGTAATTCCAGCAAGATGAAGAATAGGATGAAAGGAATAGGAAGTGAAACAATCAGAAGCCTCTTGGACTCTTTAAAGTTAAATAATGCAAACAGCCAACAAAAAGCAGTGGGAAAATGACTTTCAGCACAGAAACACAGTAGCTAATATTGTGTTTTAGGAACTGTATGTGACACACAGTCCAAAGAACATAACTTTTAATATTTCTGTTATGGGGAATAGAGAATCAAATTATCTCTGGTTTTCATTGTGATTCTTTTTGTACAGGTCTCCTTTCTGTACATTTTTCTGCTCCTTGCTCTTCACTTTTCCATCTGCTTTATGAATGAATAATATTCAAATACAAGTTTAACAGGTACATTTTGGAAATAGCCTTCTGTTGAGCACTCTTTTAAAAAAAAAGACTGACAGGAGCAGCATGGGAAAGAGTCTTTGGGAATTCTCTTGGCTAACATACAAATGATATGCTAAGTAAAAGCTCAAGAAACAGCCACCTTTCAGTGAAACCACAGTTTGAAAGAAGATGAATGTGTTGGAACCATTGCTTCCAATCCAGTCATGTACTGGAAGCCAGTAAAACCGAAGTGCATGCATCTATTTTTGCAATTGTTTTCCATTCATGTAGATAGTACCAAGACAAAATAAAGATAATGGAATTAGATAGTAGGGTTTGCAGCTTCCTAAAGCATTGCTCTCCAAGGGTAGTGCAACTGTTTAGTGTTGGAAAAGTGGGTTTGTTCTTGTGTTTACCACCTGATTTCAAATTCTTTAGTCAGCTCTCCTTACGACTGGTCCCCACCCACACTTGTATAATGTTTCTCATTTTGCCTTCAGCTTCATTTTAAACCTGTATTTCAGGTTCAGGCAGGGGCTCTTGTATGCCCTTCTTGCTTCGTCACTCTCCTCAAAGTTGCTGCCTTCTAGGTGACACCAAAGCCTTCTGGCAGAGGGATCTATCCCATGCAGAGATCCATAGAGAATAATGTCTCGTGCTGGAGTCCTGTTTCCAGTCTTGCCTTGGTTTTCGCATACTCAGCAGAACGGTGACTGTCTCCCTTCCCGATCAGTTGGGCCAGCAGAATCAATGCTTTTCGTTGACTTGAAACACTGAGTGCTCTGCCTCTGTCCATCTGCCACAAAAAGGAGCATTTTCAGAGGAAAAGGGAAGAGGGAAGGGAAGAAAGAAAAGAAATCGAAAAGGGAAATGAAAGCAGGCAAACATCAGACTTTGCAAGTACATTTGTGAGCATTTCACCTGCCCAGTTGGAGAGCCACTTATGCGTTAAAACTAAATGACAACTCCACAGACCTTTGTCTTTTATTCTTAACAGAAATTCTGTAAATGAATTTATTGTATTCAGATCATCATACAGCTGCAACATCAATCATTAGGATTACTGCTTCAATTTCAGTATTTTTAGATTCTTTCATGTTGAAGTGGCATGTGATTTTGTGTAGACTTTCCTTCTAATTGTGTAGTCTGAAGTCTTTTCCCTCATGTATTATTCATTGGAAATACTGTAGGCAGTAATGCATATTTCCAAAGTACTAGTAAAAACCGGACAAGGAAAAGTATTTTCCCGCAGCTGACAGACTAAGGGGTTAGACCTTCCGATCAATTCCATGTTAGTTTATTCAGAGTTTAAAATAGTACTCAAATATATCTTGTTTCTGATTAATAGATGTTTTCTTGAATAATGACTCACGTAGTCATTATCTCAATTGCTGAAATCTATTCTCATGTTAACTTCTTCAAGATTGAGCCTTGAATTTGAAACTTTGTTTTCTTCCTAAATCCTGATACTAGAACTTCTTTTTGGAGGCTGATATGAAGTTTATTGTAACCTTTTATTGGTGCTAACCCAAAGCCTTTGATAACAAGTTTGGCACAATGCTGTAAGGCACCTGTTGCTGCCTTAATCTCTACAGGACCTGGAGGTACATTTTCTGCTGTTTACCCAGCAACAGACTTTGAAGATTAGGGCAGTACTCGAATAGCTGTGAATTTTCTTTTTTCTAGATAAACCAAATGGGTGAGGGTGAGATAATAAGAAAATGGGTTACCAGGGAGAGAAGCATGCAGCAGAACTGTGGCAGTGACTACCCACATACATTATATTCACAGTGATCCACTGGCATAGGTAGGAAAGATTTTATGTGAATTTTGACATGAAGATACAGGACACTTATAGACAACGTTAAGTTTTGTATTCTGCTTATATGGTTGAGCCATGCTGAAGCACAAGCTTCATTTGTAAATGGTTATAGATGTTCAATCTGCTTAGTATTCCTTAAAAGGCAGGGCAGAACACCATTACTGTATAGGCAATGCCTTTCAGCATCACTTTTCTGTTTAGACTGTCTGTCCCTTTTGGGAATGGTTCTGAACCCTTGTCAGGGCCGCAGGCCAATTTCTGAAAAGAGGAGAAAGAAGCCAAAAGCAGTGTTGTAGCAATGGAATGCACAGGTGATTTTTTTTCAGATGTCTGCAAGTCCAGGGGGCTGAAGACCAGGGAGCTGCTGACTGAAACCTAGAGGCTTTAAGGATCAGCTCTCATTGATGATGTCAATAAGCCCAGTGGGCAGCTTTCATAGAGGAGGCTGGAGATGGAGGGCTGACCATGAGCTTCCCTAAAACATGAACTGTGTCTGGGAGAAGAGCTGAGTGATACTGGAGCAACTGAAACCACCTATGGAAGAGAACTAGACAAGAGAATGAAGATTTCAGGGAACGTATTTATCAAATCAAGAGAGATGGTGTGAATATAATTTCCTAAGGGCACCAGTCTTGAAGATAGAAAAAATCAATATGGTTCTGTCAGTGAAAACAAGGGTTGGATATTTGTCAAGAAAGGACTGTGGTTATGGTCTGCATTTGAGAGCTTGTTCTTATGGTCCAAAAGCATGTAAACAATGTCTCTGTGAGAGCGAGGCAGTAAGTTTTAGTTACTTCTCAAAGTTGGTGCTGATATGCTGTATTGTGTGGTGGGGCTGTTAGGGAGGTCACATGTAAGGAACATGAGTGAATTAAACACATTTTTGCCCCTCTGCCCCTTTCTCCTGCTGGGAATACTTTTGAGTGCAGTCTCACATTTCCTGGCTCTTAAATGGTTAGGGAAACTGAATATATTCAGAAGTTCCATGCCCTGAGAAAATACACTGCAAGACATTAACTTCAAGTTAACATTTACTGCCAGAGATTTTTATTTCCGTAGATGTTTGATGCTCGCAAGTGTTGCAGTCATAAGTTCTGCTGCAACTGCCACTGCTCCATCATTCCTCTGTAACTTCCTGGGAATCTGAAGCCTTGGCCTACAGTTGACTGCTGGGTGAGCATCTCTGTGTCATGCTTGTGGTGAAGACACAGTTGCCAAAACAGACTTCTTGGCTGGTAACAGATGCTCAATTCCTCTCCCTCAATTTCAAAGTACAGTTCCTGTCTGGGTTTCTGTCCTTTAGACTTGGAATCATAGCATAATTCAGGCTGGGAGAGAACTCTGGACCTAGTCCAGCTGCCTTTTTAAGCTGTATCAGCTCTGAGATTAGACCAGGACTTGAAAAACTCCAAGGATGGAGACTGCACAGCCTTTCCAGACAACCTGTTCCAGTGCTCAACTGTCCCTGTCACCCTGGTGGGCTGGGCTGTAACAGACTACCATATCCTTGTCGCTCTTCCTGGCTTCTTTTCTGATCCTGACAAATGTTTTCAATTAGACTACCATCCATTACAAATATTCAAGCTGCTCCTTTGTGTAGGAAGGCCCCTGAGTCTTCCCTTCTTTCCTTGACTTTCCAGAGGAACTTGTATCCATCCATCCCAGTGCTGCCATCAAATGCAAACCTTCCCACCGTAGCTGTTACTCCAACAGTGCTGTAGTAACAACACAAGGAGCTCTAGTTCCTCTTGCTTGTTCCCCAGGCTGCTACACATTTGTATCTGTAAATTAGAGGTGGGTACCTGTTAATAATTTTTTATTATTCTTGAGGTCCCTTTTGTTCCTGTCACCCTGTATCCCTTTCTCTCAATCCACGTCCACAAAGCTGGCGTAAGTGGAGGTTATCACTGCCCTCCCTTACTGTTATGACTGGATGCCTTGATATGGCCACTGCGCAAATCCTGCTTACAAAGTCCTCATGACATTCAAATCCTGACTAAAAATTAATTTCTAAGAGGCTCTGCAGGAAAATAAGAGTCTGTCAGTACCAGACTGGTATACTATAATGGCAGAAAAGCCCCAGAAAATACATTTATGCTGCTGTAGGGGAGCATGATGGAAACACCCAAGGTAGCCTCATCTGTGCTGGTGCAGCTGCAGAAAAGCACATAACACCATGCAGAGATACTGGTGCAGGTGTGGAATCACCTTAGGACACAGTGCTACATCTATAGGACCTCGTTGCTTCCACAGCTGCACTAGTGTGGTACAGGGTGCTGCTGCCTGGCAGCTTGTCCACTTGGATTTGGCACATTTGTGGTGCTGTGTGCCCTCTGCATCTAGAGCAGTCAGGCTCTCAGCTGCAGCCTCACTGCTCTGTGCTCATGCTGGGTTTGTGGTCATTGAGGAATTGTGTTCTTAGAACACCTAGTCTTCCAGGTTTGCTTTTAAGTTTAGTTTCTTTTATGTTCTCTAGCGGTACAGGCTATATTGTTTCTTAAAATTCTGTACCTTTGGGAAAAGGAAAGGTAGACAAACAGCCTTTATTGGAATGATTTTGCTAACAAACTAGTTAAAGGTCCATGCCAAGTTCAGCTGAAGCAAGTTTAGGATTTCCAGCCTTGGCTGCTTTGAAGATATGATGAATTAACAATTAGGAAGTTTTTAAAATTGAAATCATCCTGTTCATTGGAAAGTTCTCTCTTCCAAATGCTTTGCCTTGCTTATCACAAAATTACTGCCAAGGTTTTCTTCTAGTACAAAATTCTTCTGAACGTCATGGGTGATTTGGGGTCAGTTTGTTTAAAACAAGGGTTAGGATTTATACAAGGCTAACCTGTGCCTGGAGATAAAATCTCCTTCTCCATAAATCCTCTTAGTTGAAAGTCTTGATCCACTGCTTTTGCAGACCTGTTTCTCATACTTTCTTTAAGCAAAGGATTGGTTTGTTTTCTTTTGCAGGACCTCCCTGCTTCTTTTCCCTTTCTCCGTTGTCTTTTCATCATATCTCATCTGATCTGATCTGTAAAGAATAGTGTTTCACTTGGCCCCTAGTATTTGTCGAGCAATAGTGAATACAGCTGCATTCAAGAAACTGGTAGTTTTTAAAATGTGGCTCTCACATTGCAAAGTAATTTTTTTTTATTATTTTTAATTTTTTTACTGCTTCACTTTTGTAGACTGAGTCTCCATACTGCATTTCCCATGGCTCATAGAGGGATCAATTAGCTGGATTAGATGGGCCTCACCTATATTGACCATATATTTTTGGGAAGTCTTCTCATTTAAGAAATTTGTTTAACACAGTCTGTAGTATTAGAAAGCAGAAGTTCCCTGCAAATTTTTTGAGAGGTGCTTTATCCTTCAAGATTATTTCTGTTTTCCCTTGTTGTTATGGTGAAAACTAGGTTCAATTTGTTTCACAGAAGGACTTCAGAGATAGGTTTTTGTTCCCATGCTGAGCTCTCTTGTGCATACAGATTTGTAGTCAATGTAAACAGTGCAG